TCCTCCTCTTTCGATTGGTGAAAACCGCAGATCGCTAGCTATTGCCGTTGTTGAGTTATTCAAGTTACACCAACCCCTCTTTAATTCTGGCGCTGGCATTAGTCGATCGATAAGAATGTCGATCACACATAATGACTTTGAATGCATAGAATCAAAAATTAAGATAGATTAAACGAAAATATTCATTCTCTTAAAACACATTGAATTTGATATTTTGATATGAAAGATTTATCAACTTCACTTTTGGTGTTAGCAATCGGCAACAAAAATGAATAGTAATAAAACTCTCACTTTTTTCTATATGATGCCGAAACTTTTCTTGATAAAATTGAACAATTTCACATAAATGTGAAACCTAGTAGAGTGGCAAATGAACATACGTCAAGAAATTTTTATCATTATGACACTTTACTGTTAGAAAAACACTTTAGTTTATTACCCAGGAGATTCAATCCGACCTGTAGATTCGATCGAAAGCGATCGGATCCGCCTCGCATTTCATCGGAATCCGACATCTTTTATAAAAAACCAATGGGATCCGACAAGGTTTTTGTCGGATTCCCATCAGCCGGATTCCGGTCCGGATTTCATCGGAATTCGCCGCAACACGATGAAATCCGGGCAGGATCAGATCGAATTTTATCACGTTCCGTCGAATTCCGATGAAATTCGGATCGGAATCCGGCTGATGGGAATCCGACAAATATAGGACCGGATCCGACCGAAATTATTCCAAACTGGCGAGATCCGACTGGGGTCGTTTGACCTGGGTTATCAACATTATTTGTACTATTGCTGCTATTCATTCAAGATAACTTCATTCTCATTGATAGCATAAGATGTAAAACGAAATATTTATTTCTCACAGAGTGAATTGTATTCGTAAATGGATGTTCAACAAAATCACCATTTCTGTGTCAGATTTTATAGTCTTCACTCTAAACATATTAATAAAATAGTTTTCTTTCCCTTGAAAACCTAAACATATCATTTACAGTTTCATTTATATCGTTTTACGAAATTCACACATAACTTCAATTAGAATGTACTAAGGGTCGTTTGTTAAAAGAAAGGCAATTTCGTAAATAATTCTATTAATATATCACTCTTATTGTGACAAATAATAAAAACTGCTACTTATGAAGAATAAGAATCAATTATTATATATTCACCATTGTGCTGTGTATCATTGCTAGATTTGTCTGTTTGATCAGGTCGATCCATGGCAATGGTATTCTTCGATCGATCTGTTTCGAATAGCCTAAAATGCAACATGTTTTTCTTAAAAGAAAGCCGCAATAAAACATGAAAGCGTTCAGGGTGTGGGTGTGGGTCAATAGAAGATTGATGCCCCCCACCTTACACCCACACCCACACCCCGCACCCACACTCACATCCACACCCACACCCCACACCCACACCCCATACCCACACCCCACACCAACTCGTCAAGAACTATGCCGCTAACTTTTCATTTGCAGAAATAAAATCGAATAAACAACATATATCGCATCCAAAGATATACCTAAATGAAAACTGAAAAATTGATGCCTGATTCTTGGCGTTGTAGCATCAGCATCGTAGGTCTAAACGGGAAGATGTTTTCGTTTACCGTCGACACGCCTTTCTTACTGAATCCTAATAAGATGTTTGTATTTATGGTCATGCCATCTATTTGACTACGCATTGAAACAAAATAGACACAAGAGTACAATAAAACAAACTCGAAGTAATGAACCAATTTTGCATTTCGTTATTCTCCATTGGACAGAGGAATAAGTGTCTTTTTTCAGCATCTTAGCACATATACTAAACGATTACTGGTTAACCGCAAACAAAAGATCCTTCGAGAAATGCAAAATCGAAAATTGGTCGAAGAAGAAACGGTTAAACGGGTGTGGGTGGGTGTGGGTAGTGGTATGTGGGTGGTGGTGTGTGTGGCTGTGGGTGTGGATGTGGGTGAGTGTGGGTGTGGGTGTGGGTGGGTGTGGGTGTGGAGTGTGGATGTGGGTGTGTCGGTATGGATGTGAGTGAAGAAAATAGATGCACATCCACACTCACACCCACCCACACCCACACCCACAGCCACACCCACCCACACTCACATCCACACCCACCCACACCCACACCCACCCACAGCCACACCCACCCACACTCACATCCACACCCACATCTACATCCATACCCACACCCACACTCCATCCTATATCGCAAGGTAGCAGAAAGGTGGGGTATTCTTCGAGATTTTCATGAAATCGGATGAATGTCTAGAAATCAAATGGCTTTATAGGAAAGAAGGTATAGAGAAGAGCGAAGAAACAAAAGCCGAAATAGCAAAAGTTGAAAAAAAATATCGAATGATACTTGAGGGTATGTGTGTGAGAGTAGAGTATGAGTGACAGTGTGGGTGTGTGTTTAGTTTTCGGCGCTGTTGTCATTGAGATCCTCACCCACGCACACACCTTTCTACATCTTTTCTTCGATCTTCTTTGTTTCGGTATTTTTTTTTTGATATGATCGCATTTTTTTTTCTTTCACCATTTTTTTTTGGATTTTTTTATATCATTCGAAAAAAAAAGAATCACCTTCCAAAAACACGCTCAATTTATTAGAAATTAGGTAAGTTTTCGCTGAAAGCTGCTCGATTATAACATAATTCGCACAGCTGAGAGTGAAGCTAGAAAACAAAATACAAAGTGGGTCGACTGATAGCTCGAGCTACAGAAAGTTACTTATATTTTTCTATTATTCTGATGATGTCCATTATGGTCATTGGGTTCGTTATGCCTGTCATCTGATGCCTGAATGAATACTTTGTGCATAAAGTGGAAACTACATGATTTTGGTAAAAAAAAACAATAGAAAGCATTGAATCTGTTCAAGATGCACAAAAGTTTTAAAAAAGAATGAATACACTAAAGTCTTTTTACTCAGAAAAACGAGTTCAATACGAAGAAAATTTTTCGAAAAGCATTCATTTACTTGGTATGGCTGGAAAAAACCCACTCACTTGGCCGCACAAAGCTATCGAGCAGACGAAGAACGAAGGAGCAACCACCAAATGCTTGGAAATTTCCAACTGCATGTTTATGAAAGGAGAACAGAGAAGCAGAAGAGAAGCAGAAAAAATTCAAAGTACCTGTTGACATTGGTTGGAAAAAACCATCAAGATATCAAGTAGTCAATATTTCCAACTTCATATTAAAAATGTAAAAAAATAAGAAAAAAAAACGGGGAGGTTTTCTCTGAGACATCAATACTAAGTCATTTTGACTATGCAAATATAACAACGAGAAAAGAAAAGAAAATAGCCACCTTATGGCTATTATTATTATTGATAATGTTGTCCGTAATGTGTGTCAAGGAAATCTGAGAGTAAATAGGAAAAAAAACGCAAACATTTTTCATACTTTCTCATGGGATAAAAATGACACCTGGTGAAAAAATATTATTAAGATTTCAATCCTGGATTTGATAAAAATCTCTACTGAGGATAGAGTTTCGCTGTAGGTAATGTGAAACATGTGTTTTTTTATGCGTCGTCAAGCTATTTTTATCGATAGTATTTCATAATTAATAAAAAGAAAACATGATACGAAATTTTTTTTTTATTAAAATTCATTCTTTGGTAACGATTTGCTTTTTTTTATTTGAGCATTTACACAATTGAAGGTGATTAAAAGATACAATTATTAATTTTAGATTCGTTTTAGTCCTAAAGTTTGAAGTAGGCAGATCAACTGCAGAAATTCACGAATAAACAAATTTATGTGTCTTTCTAAATATTCTACACGATCAATATTGATAAAATATATCCTCACATTTCTTTCTATTACGACCAGTTTATTGCTAATTTATGTATATCTCTTTGATACGGTAATATATTTTTCTGAATCTTGGTGATCTTTCCTTATTCTATTGAATTGTTATTATTGTGTAAGAGTTATCTTTCGCTTAAAATTACTTTTAAATAAATGTGGCAACCTCGGATTTAAATCCGAGTGTGGGTGTGGGTGTGGATATCAGTGTGGGTATTAGTGTGGGTGTGTGTGGGTGTGGGTGTGGGTGGGTGTGGGGTGTGGGTGTCAGTGTGGGTGTGAGTGGGGATGGGTGTGTATTCCTTTGTTCATCTTCACATTCACATCCATATCCACCCACACCCCGCACACCCATACCCACCCACACCCACACCCCAAAAAAGCAGATTTAGAAAGTTGTGTGGGATTTTATTACTTAAAACGGTAGTCTTCTAAAGTGCCTCTAATATTAAAGTCGAGCAAAAATAAAATTTCGTTGAAAAACATATGATTTAGATAGAGTTCATGACGCTAATTACGAATATAAAGCTTTTGCTTTTCTAGACCGTGTTCTAGGCAAGAAATTTTAAAAGAAACATAGGATCTCATCGACTCTAAAAATTACTCTTTTCACTTGAAAATGAAAGATTTCTGTAACCTAAGCTAAGCACTCTTCACTGAAATCATTTCGCTCAAACTCATCATAAAATTGCATGGTCCACATTGATTAGTTTCATAAGATTCATTTTTGAGGGTGTCAGTGTTTTTCTACATTTCATACTATCTCTCGCGGAATTTTTTCGAACACATGCTCTTACATCCCTCAATCTTCGATCGGACTTTGCCCACATCCACATCAATTCGATACAAATGTTATGAGACAGTTGCCCTTTTAGAATCATTATGGTCAGAGTATTAATATAGTAAATAAGTAATACAACATTTAAGAAAAATTTATCCCATCTTTGACTAAAATACTCTGTCCGGTGATATAGTCAGAGTCTTTGCTTGCAAGAAATAAAATCAAGTTTGCGACGTCCTCTGGATACCCTATACGACCAAGTGGAATAATTTTTAGAAAATCTTCCATCACTTGTTCCTTTGACTTTCTTTGAAATTCTGCCAATTCTTCATTAAACCTTTCCAACAACGGTGTCTTGGTGACTCCTGTTAAAATTTTTTAAATTTCATATTTAAAAAACACTAAAACATACCTGGGCAATAAGCGTTGACAGTAATATTATATGGTGCCCATTCCATAGCAGCAGCTTGTGTTAAACCTCGTACACCCCATTTTGTAGCAGAATAAGAACTGATCATTGGATGTGGTTTATATGCAGCATTACTACAAGCACCAATGATTTTTCCTCCTCTACCTTGTTTAATCATGATTTTAGCTGCCTGTTTATAACAAAGAAATACACCACGCATATTTATTCCAAAAAACTTTCTCCCAATCTTCTACAGTCGTATCTAACAGTAATTTCATAAAAATAAAATTCCTGCATTTGCCACTACTACCTGTAGAATCAATTGCAGAAAAAAAAAATTTCAAAAAATCGAAAAGATTTAAAAATACATACGTCTAGACTTTCTAGTTTTTGTGCAGTCTCTTGCATCATTTTTTCGACTGATTCACTTTGAGAAACATCAGCAGTTATAGCAATCGATTTTCGACCAATTTGTTCGATTTCTTGTCGAACTTTCTCAAGATCAGAAGAACTAGTTTGTACATCATTAACAGCGGCATTAAGACCATCTCTAGCAAGACGAAGTGCAATCACACGTCTCATTCCTCGAGCAGCACCAGTTACTAAACCAGTACGAATCACTTTTAATAATAAATAATCAAAATGAAAACGATAGTTATTTGAATAAGTCTTATCTTGGTCCTTGTAGCATTTTTTTTCTTATTTGTAGTTATTAAAATATGATAGTGAATTGACAAGATGATGATAGCTGATAGGAGTCACCTTTTCTTCTTATTTTATTTCGACGCACCTTCAAATTGTAATAACAACAGAAAAGAAAAAGAAAAAAAAGAAATCAAGGTTTATATGTAGTTTAATGCATTTTATTTTCCATCAATAAAGTATGAAGGACAAAGCATCTGCCAGAATAGGGTGTGGGTGTGAACTACATCGGGAGATCTAGATCAACGTTCACACTAATCCACACCCACCCTCACTGTTGTTGATTGTGAATTCCATCATCGATATTACTTATCGTTTTAAGATCCTCTCAAACGGTTTAATTTGTCAAAAGACTACACGAACTTGGGTTTTTATTATGGGAAAATGCGGCCAAATTTTCTGTTCCTGAGTATAGATGGCTTTTCGCATAGCATTCAAAGTTGAACAGACGTTCTCATCAAAGCTTGATCAAATCTCAGCGGTTTCATTAGATTTCTTTGAGTATAGAGAATGCTTCCCCTTAATCTGCATGAACATTGAATAAATCATTATATTTATTTGAATATGATCGGTTGTAGTAATTAAAATTATTTGTTATATGCTTCAAAAAATTTTATTTTTTTAAATAGTGACCCATAATTACTCAAGATAAATTGCTAATGATATGTCTCATTGTTGCTTAATATAGGAGGCTCTTAGTTTCATCATTTGTATGTTTGATAATGATATTTAGTATCTCTAAGTTTTAATTGTTCGGCTAAAACTAGAGCTAAAAAAATGTTGGAATCATGCTGGAATGCACAATTTTTGCTTACTATATTTTGTGCTATCCTTTATTCTTGACTAACGATATTCATAAACACTTGATGAGAAAAACTTCAAAACAAACTTTGTCTCAAAACCACAGACTATGACAAAACTCAGTGGATATGAACATGCTTTCCCGTTGTTTTTTATGAACAATTGCAATTGGTAAAGGATTCCACGTATAAAATTCGAGAAAGGCTGTGAATGTAGGTGTTCCAGCTTCATCCATACCCACACCATTAAGCATTCGAACTCTTCTGTAGACATGAAACAGCATGAAAATTCCAGTAAAAGCTAAACACGCTGAATATTACATGATTTGTGAAACGTTTCTTGCAGAAAATCACAAAATTTAATTTGTTGATTAAATATTATTGTTGAAATTCAATGTTTGTTCTTCTTCAATAATCATCGACAGAAAAAAAAAATGATATATTTATTTTAATTAAAAAACAATAAAAATGATACAATGTGGAATTCAAATAGTTATTTGTTCAAAGATCAATTGATTCAAATGTTTTATTATTATTTTAATTTGTTGATTGTAGAAAACATATAATTTATTTATTTGAAATAATATTTTTAAATTGACACATTATTGTTGATGAATTCGCTTTAACTGGTAATTCAACAAAAAATTCTCGTTTCGATGAAATATTATTTTGACTTATTTTTAAACCATCAACTTGTTCACGAATTTTTTTTCCATTTATTGGTAATCGATAAAGAGTTCCAACCAAAGGAAATATATCATCAGATTTAAGTACATCTTTTGCATTTGAACGATCTTTTTCATTTTCAATTGTTTTTTTAAATAAATTTATTTCTTCTTCATAATCTTTCATCATTTGTTCAAGACCTTGAATAACATCATTATTTTGATTACCAGCATTTTTTTTCATTTGTTCTTCTTTTATAAAAAGTTTAAGATATTCTAATATATCATCATTTAATGGAAGAATTGCATTTGCATGAAGAAATTTTGAAAGTTTTTTATAAACATCTTCTATTTTCGATTTTTCATCTCGTAAATCACTTATTCGTTTATCAATATCACTTAATGAAGATGCCTCAGTCAGACGACGAATATTTGTTTCATATCCATATGTTATATGTTGATGTTTTTTCCATGAACATTTACATTTTGTACATATACCTAGATAATAATATAGATTTTAAAGTAAGAATTAATATAAATTCAAATCAATTAAATTAATTCAGCAAAACTGAAAAATTTTTTTATTTATATTTAATAAATAAGTTGAAATGTTAAATAGATTTTCTTTAATTAATATTCTCATTTAGATATATATATATATTGAACTTGTCAAATCTAACATTTGACATTCCATGTCGTATATTTATTTTCAATACTGCTGGTATATTGCGGTACTTAAAAGAACAAACAGTAGCCCTTACAAATTCCAGTTTATCGAAAGAGAAAAAGTTTCATAATATATTTTAACACATTTACGATGATGTAAATATTGTTTTCTCATAATTCATGAAAGGTACTATTTCTTCACTCACAGTAGTTGTAATACTTCCATCAATGTTTCTCTGATGAATATGAGCTATGAACATTCTTTTATCAGTAGTAAAAGAATTCATCTATTTTGGTTCAAATATGGCAGAGATATTCAATTTTTTTCTGTAGTAAAGAAATTTTTGGGTCGCTCTATACTGTGGCCCACCGGTGGATCTCGTCGTCTTGAATGTATGTATAATAAAAATTGTTGACTTACCATCTAAAATAAAAAAATTGATCTGAGAATTGGGATCCATTTGGACCCTGTCGCTACTATAGGCGGTTCAAATACATCACAACATCATTGAAATCGATCTAATTCAGTTAGAATTTAAAAAGAGATTTAACCGTGTTGATACGCAACAGTACGATACCGTACTTTTCAATGAAAAAAAATGGCGATAAACCGCCAGTACAATACAACATTATAGCGATCGATCAATCAGTGGTTTTTCTTCGATTAAAATCACATGAGATCGAATCAATAGTACGATAGACAATTATATATTTCTATGAAATATTCCTGAGGCGAGCTTCGTTGAAAAAAATAAAAGTTTTTTAGTGTATTTCCTTTCGAGCTCCTATGTAGAACTCACGTAAAATTCTGAAGCCTCATTAAAATAATAGAAAATACACTGAATGAAAAATATTTCTTAGACTACAGTTATTTTACAAGGAAATCGTTTGTTGCAGTAAGCATCTATCTTATTTATTGCACATTTTCGAACAAATTTTTTCACTCTTCCAGAAGAGAGAGTTTTTTTGTTATACTTCTAAAATAAATTTGCCTTGTTTAATCTTAATTATGTTTAGAATTCTAATTAAAATGTATAAAATAGAATCTTTGAAATTCTATAAACAATTGAAAACTATAAAATGAATCATTTAACTAATTAAAATATTAAAAAAAATTCGTTGTATATATTTGATAAGTAAATTGATTCTAAAAAAATAGTGAAAAAAAATCTAACCTGTTTTATAATCGATAATTTCACAATCTAACATTCTTGGATCATTAATAGTTTCTTGTACAACACCTTTTAAATAACATATATCATGACATTTTGATTTATATTCAATTTTAGTTTCATTATTAACCATAATAGTTTGACAACATTTATCATTCGTACATACTGTTCTCGGATTATCTAAATGTCGAATTTGAACATCATGTTGTGGTAAACCTTGAGAAGCTATTTTAGGATTTTTTAAAACATTTTCTTTATGTTGTTTAGCAAGTTGAATATTTTCTTGAATAAGTTTAGCTGTTTCAGCAATAGGACGTGTAAGTTTTCGAATTAATTGTTCAGCTTCATTAAGTGATAATGTATTACTAACAGCATGAAGTGGACGTGTTACAATATGACGCATTAAATTTGAATATTCTTTAATAGTATGTTCCCAACTCTTTTGATAACTTAATATTTGATCGTTATTTAATCGAATACCATTTTTACGTAATGCTAAATATCTGAATGGTTCATTATCTAATAAAAAAGTATTATCTCTTGTAAATGGTACTTCAATATTTTTTTTTTGTTTATGTTCATCTAAAAGTGCTCGAAGAATTTTTGATGTTGCACCAGGTTTAAAAAAAGTTGAACGAGCATTTGTAAAAACAAATATTATATTTTCTTTTGCACTTTCATGTAAATGTCTAAGTAGTTCATTAATGCAAAATCTAAAAAGTATAGTTAAACGTTCTTCATTTGGTTTAAGTAAAATACAAATTCCATTTAAATGTTCATATTGTGAAATAAATGTTAAAATTTCATTAAAATTTTTATTATCTTGATCAAGACCTCGAGTATCGCCAATACCAGGTGCATCTATTATTCGTAAAGTTTTTTCACCAACTGGAAAAACAAAACTTCGACATTGTTGTGTACATGACTGACCATTTTCATTATAGTTTTCATGTTCATCATTTTCTCCAATTTTAATCATTCTTTCTTCAAATGTTTCATCATGAGTAAAAGAAAATGCAGATGGGATAACAGCTTGCATTTGATCATTAGCAGCTTCTTCTAATGTATCATTACAAAGATAATTAGCTAAACCATTTATAAATGTTGATTTTCCAACACCTGTTTGTCCTAATAATAATACATTTATATCATCTGATGGATCATTATTTCTCTTTGCTTTTATCATTGATGGATGATTTCTTAAAGCCATATTATTTCCTTTTTAGTTTATATAAAAAAAATATTAAATATTCTTTTTTATAATCGTAAAATAATTCTTTTGATTCTTTAGAAAGATTTATTTAGTATTTATAATTCTGATAAACGTTTACAGAAAAATAAACGGTTTTCTACAAATTTATACTAAAAAAAAGAAAATTCTATTGAAAAATTATTCGACTAAAATGAGATTCTTGTTCAAATAAATAGAAATTCAAATTCATCAATAAGATTTTTCTTCAGTTCCCATAATGAAAGAGCTCATAATCCGAAATTTAATGTTAGTGTTTCACTCTTGTTCAAGAACAATTTCACTTAAAATCGAAAAGATTTTTCATTCAGAGAAGTAAAAGAAAATTTTAAAGTTACATATGTAAGATATATTCAAATATGAACATGAACTCGTTTATTATGATAGAACATTAAAAAAAACAACAAGCAAAAGCCTTTCTCTGACTATTAAGATGCTACAAATGTAAAATTTAAATAAAAAAATTTCGCTTTTTTTTCACGTCGAAAACACATACTTTTCAAAATGTGGAAAATTTTCTGCTTCATCGTTTTTTAGATTTTGCATCAAAAACTGAATTCAAATAAGTTGTTAAATCGATTCTAACTTCTACAATCTTTTGATGGTGACGCTTCACATCGTACCAAGTGCAATACGTATAGATCGATTTTTATAGAACTCTCCAGTTTTTGTGTATAAGCGATGGAGTAAAATACTTTATCTGATCTTGCTCATCATACCACCAGTCACAAAAGTAGGTATCACATTTTTCTTCTTTTTCTTTAATTTGTTGAGAAAATCCAATTTTTTCTGAATTTTGAATTAAATAGATAACATGTGGCCCGTTTTTCTCTATTTTCTTCATAAAAACTAAGCCTTCGTACAATAAACTTCTGATATTAAGAATTAGCACAAAAAAAAATCTGAATTAATCGATCCACGTTTTTTTGAAATTTCTGTTACCTTTTACTTTTTGTGAAAGTTGCTATCAAGTTCTCATCTGAAAATCCGAAAAGAACTAAAATCATGGAAACATATGAAACTATATATCAAATGTTTCAGTTTCTTGCACTGATTCTCAATATCCCAATATTATGGCACAAAATCTTACTTTCTATGAAGAAAATAGAGAAAAATGGGTCACATGTTATCTATTTAGTCCAAAATTCAGAAAAACTGAGTTGTCTCAACAAATTAAAGAAAAACAAGAAAAATGCGATGCCTACCTTTGTGACCGGTGGTATGATGAGAAAGATCAGATAAAGTATTTTACTCCATCGTTTATACATAAAAACTGGAGAGTTGTACAAAATCGATCTTTACGTATTGCACTTGCGATGTTTAATCTAAAACACAAAACTATTTTAAAAAAGATGTGTTTTCGACGTGAAACAAAACATTTGTTGACGCAAAAAAGCATGTGTTCGTAATCAACAACTCAAACTCTTTCAAACCATGTGCGAAAAGCGAAAAAACTTTTCTTTACTTGCATTTTGCGTTGCCGTTGTTTTTTTCTTAGAATG